GCTTGTTTTGGATCCATGATTTTGTCGGCTTTTTTTTGTATTCAGGTCGGTGATGTCATTTTTATGTCGGCAAATCTTGAAAATTATGCTTCTTGGCTTGTATTCACTGTATTTTGTATATGTCGGCTTGAGAAGCCTTTTGATCAAGATGTAATACGTATTTTACTTTGTTGTATTCAAGTTGTAAAGATATGTAAAGATGTATGCCATTCCATTTGACCTATGCACTGCTCTTATGGACCACTTGTATTTTAAATTATTGCTTCCGCACTTGTGAGCCCCATATATTTGTACTCTGTTTGTGTGTGGATTTCGTAAGTTGGCCTTCGGTATTCTCGGATTACTGGACATCACGGCACCAAACTACTAGGGGCGGTTTGGGGGCGTGACAGTACGACAGCTTATCTGTAATGGATACATGTTCAACAAAAGGAAGACCTCACAACCCAGAAACTGTGAGAAGGCTGCCTTAAAAAGTATATTTAATTAAAGATTTCATTGTTCTACATAAATCTTAGGACTTATTATATAAATATAATCGATTTTGGTTAGGAATCCAAAACCAAGATTGAAAATGGCTCAAAATTATACATAAAACTACAATGACACGGGGAAAGAAGAAATCATTTCAAATAATCTATAAAATCTTAAGCAACATGGCAAGTAGAATAAAAGGAAACTTACTTCTCCATACTTTGCTTTCCTTTTTTTTTTTCCTTCTCAAAATGACCCAATTATGGAGACATGCTTCAAGAGAACTTGAAAATAGAGTTAAAAATTGTTAAAGATAGGATAATTGTAACAAATACTTTGGGTTCTTTTTGACCATCACGAAAATACTGATCAGGTTCTTATTCACAAAAGAGTTAATGAGGTGGTGGGAAAATAGTATATAAGAAAGGGCACCATGTTACAAACTAATGGGAAAATGTGAAATAATTACAATTACACAAGAGGGGTTATAGAACTGTAATAAGTATATAGCATATTAATTAGGATAGAGGTTAGAGTGTAAATCATTTGGAAATTAGGACAAATTTCTGCACTAATAAATCAAGATAGACATAGAGGTCAACCAAAGAAAAAAATGAATTAATAGTAGCCGCAGCTGCAGCCTCATGTGCAACCATTGTATTAGTAACCACAATACAATTCTCCAAAAATCAATGGAATTTACCAAAATAGATTATGCAAAACCACATATCACACAATGTGAATAGGTAGGTGAAATCAAACTAAACTACATATAATCCAAGTTTCTGCAGAACTTTAAGTCAATGGTTGAACAAGCATTGACTCCAATTGTACTTACTCAATACATTGGAACAAAATTGTATCGCATGGATTCAAATTCCAGAAATCAACCTACCACGAATCAAATCTCTTGGCAAACAAAAAACTTAGTCACAAAGCAGTGAAGAACATTGGGGGGAAAAATGGACAAAGTTTATTGATTAAGTTGAGAGAAATTACCTGGTTTGAGTGGGTGTGAGCTGAAAAATGGCAGAGTCAAGATGAGTACTACACTTCATGGTTGAAGAAATACCGATCAGATAAGTTTGAGTTCTTCAACACTAGTACTTGATCTCCCAAATCTGAAAAATCACAGAATGAGAACTGCTATGAAAATCTGTCTACATTGTTTTGGTCAAGAATAAGAAGTCTTGCAATATAAACTTAGAGCAAACATCAAAGGTAATTAAAATATGAACAATGCTAAAATTCATCAAAATGTTCGTGTAGAAAAGACGAATTGATAATGCTCATAACTATATCACATGGAGAATAACAAAACAGCACGCATGTTATTGAAAATAAACAAAAGCCAAAACTATATTAAACTCAAGAAGTAACTTCCATCAAGAGCTATGGCATACATCGGCCTTGTTTGGTTTGTGTTTTGAGATGTTATTTAAAAAATAGTTTTTTGGATAGTTTAGAAACTTTGAAAAAAAAGTGATGATTGATGTGTCGAAGAGAGAAGTGATTTTGGAATCTTTTAAAAAAAAAATTCAACCAAACATGTTTTTGGAATTTTTTCTCCAAAAGCATGTTTCGAGATTCAAACCAAACATGCCCATTCAATTCAAGATCATTTTGAGTATTCTGTAAATCTATTGAGTTTTTGGAGTACTTATAAAAATCTAACAGTTCATGCTTTGGTCGAGCATCATTATCCGTTCATGGCAAACACATAGTTTTTTTTTTCCTGATTTGCGAAAATTAGAGATATGTCAATTAGCTTACATACAAGAGATGGGCTTTCATCAAGCAATAAATGTGCTAAAGTAATAGGGTGAATTAAGGAAATCCAGAAATATATATATATATATATATCATCTAAAACCCAGCCATATGAGAATCATCATCTAATATTGTATCAAAAAATTCATGAGGAAGCAATCACTCAAGTTCAACATTATAGCATCATAGGTTGAATTTCACAAATAACTAACATAAAAAGTTCAACATAATCACTCAAAGAACAAAAAGGACACATAATTCCTAACATTTTAACATCTCATGTTTGTTCAGTTCAGTCCATCATATTTTATATATAAGATAATGTAAATGGGTGATTGTAATGGGTTTAGAAAATTAAGGAAATGCACTAATTGAATGTCAAGGGGAATATGCATGCTATCAAGTCCTTAATTGAATCCACTCAATGCCTAGTAGAGGAACTATCACTATTGGAATCTGCGAGTGGAGTATCAGATTCAATTAATAAATTTATTTCACAATCAACTAGTAACCCTTTAATGGAAGCTGAATTACAGTTGAATATAGAGATGAAAACAAAACAAATACCATTTACGTATTGAAGAAGAACCAGAGTCACTGCTAGAACGGCTCTAACTACTTGATCTAGTCACAAAAATAATAGCATATAATGAACAACCGAAATTCTCAAACTAACACAAATTCTTAATTGTTTCAATCAGAAGGGTTTTAACAATCATATTCATAAGCGATCAACTGAAAAACATAACACTAAAGTAGTTAAAACTAATTACACAAAAATTGATCTTCAATTTGACATATAAATGTTGAGTTTTATCTCTGTTTAGTCCAATCAATAATGCTAGTTAGATTTATTTGATAGAAATGGCACCCGTGAGAGCATAATTTCATAGGTAAAATGGTAAATTCAAACAGCACCCGGAACCATATATTATCTACATAATAGTTTCAAATCAAGCACCAAGACAACTACACAAGTCCAAATTATGCAATTTTCTGATGGAACAAAACATACCTAAAACCATAAATTTAACAGAAAGCAAAAAAAGAAAAGGAACTAGCAATGCAAATGTGCATGTGTGTGAATTATTAAAACACCACATAATCTACAAGTAACTTAAAAAATAAAACCATGGCTACAAGAAGCATAAATAGAATTGATTTTAGAAGTGTAAAGGAGATGGAGAAATCGATCGATCATGAAAAGAAAGAGGCAGTTAGCGCATGCCAAAAATCGATTGAGAGAGATAGAGAGAGAGAGAGAGAGAGAGAGAGAGAGAGAGTTAGGGCTTCCCTAGAAATTGATTGAGAAAGAGAGAGAGGTTATTGTTGCAGATGGAGGGGTTTTGGGTTGAGCGAATCGTAGAGGGGTTAAAGTTAGGATGAGGGTTTGGTTGAGGGAAAATCACTAAAGTAAAGAGGGTAGAGAGAGAGAGAGAGCTCCATACCTAATATCTAGTTGAAGAGAATGTTTTCACTTCAACGATGGAACCCAATAGAGGCTTGTAGTTCCGTTGTTGTTGGAAATCAACGATTATATAGAGATTCAACAATGGAACCCAACAGAGGCTTCTTTTTGTTAATGGAAATCAAGGGTTACATAGGAAGAGAAGGAGATGGAGAGACAAAATAGAGAGAGTGAGGGAAGTGGGATGGAAATAGGAGGGTTAACTGGTTGCCTAGGATTTCAATCTTTTACCATTAAACAATTCAATGGTCTTGATCAATTCTTTGTAATCTAAGGGCAAATAATTAAGTTGCATACGGTGTGCAACCTTAACGGGGTTACACACTTAAACAACACCCTTTTAACTATTATAATCTTCAAAAATATATGCAAGCTTCCCAAATTCAAGAAGCAAAATACATTCACAAGTCGGGTTGTTTGGAAAGAGAGAAAATAGTCAACAAGTCTTCTATCTACTTTTTTGCAAGTCTTTTTGTAAAAAGTCAAAAGGCCAACTAAAATAGCCAATTCCCAAATGAACCCTCAATACTTTTAAGCATATGGTGAAAGTAGAAAAATCAATGCAGGTTTAAGAACAAAACATATGATGTCATTCTTGAAGTACATCAAAATATTCTATCAATTTAACAACATTGACACCTAGTTGATAAAAACACAAAATCGCATGTACTATTCTTAAAGGTAAAAAACACTTACCATAAAAAAGAGAGAGTTTAGACAATTCCTTGTGACTATAAACAAAGGCCCATTTAGAGAATCTAGTGAAAATAGACATGTATCCTAGAGTAAGAGAGTGAGGGAGAGAGAGACTTTCATATATCCTACCTTAACATATTTAGAACATGAATCCTTCTTGACAAAAATGTGCAAAGTAGATATATAAATACAACATAAATCCTTGAAAGCTTCAGGAGTACCACCTACTACCTACTACCAAACTCATCCTATGTCAATTTATACCAAACACAGACAGATGCATCAAATTCAAAACTTGTGATTTACCTAGATGAGATTGGTGATGAGACTTTAGAGAAAAAAGAGAATGCCCAAACAAACAATAACAGGTCCCGCTACAAAGGCAAAGTTGTTAGGCTAATAACAAAATAGTTTTGGGAGGATAAAACACATACATTGAACAAAATTCAAATTTCAGTGGTCATTTGAACACTTTGTCAAAGAAGTTTAAACCCAAAAAAGTAGCATGGCATAGAAATGTATAATATTAAGGTGCTAGGAATGAAAAAGTCATCAAGAGGTACAACCTATAAAAATAATCAGAGAAAAATACCTCAATGCCCTTGCAGCAGTAACCCAACTACCCTCACTTGTAGGCAAGAGACTAAGATAGACTCGATCAGCCATTCCCTGCAATTCCACAGACATATGAATCTCAAAGAAACAAAAAAAAAAAAAAAAAACCAAGTAGCAATAACTTCAATAATTACAACATTATGTATGCCTTAAAAAAGTTCAACAATGGATACATAGAACGAAACCTAGAAACCACCGTTACAAACTGCCTCATCAAACATAGCAAATAATTGTCAGATCCATACAAAATAAAGCTCTAAAAAAAGTTTACAAGACAACATTAAAAGGAGTAATTTTCTTAAACGAAGCATTTTAGTCTTTTCAGTTTGTTCTGTTTTGTTTCCTATTCAAACAGACCAACTCAACAAAAATTTCAAGTCGAGGCTCCAATTAAATAACAACTCAACCAAACAATTTACTAGTTCAAGAAATTATGACCAGAATAATACAATTTAAAAGAGATCATAGCAGAATATGGACAAGTAAACCCAATAACATAACTTTTGACAATTTGAGCTTCTTTACAATATAAATCAACTCATTAAACACTAAAGTGAAACTTGGGGGTGAAAGTGTTATCCATTCATATGCTTGCACCCTGTCAAAGTTGATGGGGGATATTTGATAGAGGATTAACATTAAAACTTGACCGAAACTATGTAAACTTTTGATTGTCACAATTGAAACTATAAACAAGGTGAAACTTAGGTCAAAGAAAAGGGGTACAAAGTGCATGAAATTGTATTTCATAGAAGGTAAGGCCTACTCTAAGTTGTAGCTTTACAATGACATGGCATATAAAAAGCCCTTGGTTATTATTATTAGTAAGATACATTCCTAGAGCATCTTGCCCTTTTTTCTATTAGTAAGGTTGTCAAAAGGTATCGACCAAACCAAAACTTGAGTTTGATAGCAAGGGCACACATTAGCATGCCAACAACATATAAAGGCTTTTGTTGCTTGCTTAAAAAACTAAAAACTAAAAACTAAAAAAAAAAAAACCATATAATTCAACTCATTAAACAAATACTCTAGAACAAACACATATATGTATGTTTGTGTACATAGTGTGCAATTCATAAGTAAACTAGCATTTGATACGCAAAAGACAATAAATAAACAAGAGAAAAAGGACAAAATGAATTAAAAATCATTGAGCAAATATAATCTAAACCAGATACACAAACACACACAAATATAATCATTTAGCTCTTGAAGTAATACATTTACTTTCATCATATATTGTAAAACTGCATATAAATCCAATCCAAGATTACTTTAAGCTACAATTTTTTTATAGATTGAATACAAACAAATAATTTATTATTTTTTAAATATATATTCCACAATCATTGCCACTGGATCCACAATTACGTTAAAGTCCCTATGTTTTGAAAATTAGGTTTTAAGTTTTAACTAGGGCTAAAAAAAGAGACCTTAACCTCTTCCAACTCCTAGAATAGAAAGCAGATTTCAAATGGGGAATGACCATATTATATGAACCCAACTGTCTTTGTATTTTCATTCCAAAAAAAAATAAAAAATGTCTTAGTATTTTTTGGTCATTTTTGGTTTTAGACCAAGAAATAAACAAAACACTATCAGCATTACGAATTGCAGAGCTATTTTCGTTGATAAGGTTTTAAAAAGGGCACTGTTGGAAAATAAAACGAGTAATGCTATGTAAATATAAAATTCATACATAAAATTGAACGATATGATTGCTCAAGCATATTGTTTTGGCATTGGTTTTGAAACATTTTGTATAACAATTATATTTGTAAATCATTTTTAAAATTAAAAAAAAAATGCAATCAATACATCAGAGAGCGGGAGAGAGAGAGAGAGAGAGAGAGAGAGAGAGAGAGGATCTGTTCAGTCAAGACAGCAACTGGTTGAGAAGGTTTTAAGTTTTTTCGATTAAATTATTCAATGGCTTAGATTAGTTTGTGGAGATTCAATGGTTAAGATATAAGGTGCACATGGTAACAAGACCCGAAAATCAAAAGTGACAAACTAGTGAAAAAAATATTCTTTTTTTTTTTTTGCAAGAAACATTTTATGTATATTTTGCGAGAAATTGAAAAGCAACCTACCATGTTGCTATGGGTTGTACACAAAATTTAACAATCTTACATTTTCCAACATTATCATTTATCATGCTAAACAACAAGGGCAAAAAAAAAAATCAAAATTTTCCCTTTCTCACACTTTCCACTACTTCAATCCTAAAGTTCAACACTAATCTTTCATGGTTGCTAGGAAAGCCTCCACACTTAGAGGAAGACAGAAATTCATGGATTATCTTAGCATCAATACACTTTGAAAAAAGTATGCAGAGGAAATTCATTTTATTAAACATAAGCTTCATGTTGACTGCATTTTAGCTAAAATTAAAATCATATACTTCAATTCTTTTTAGCTTTTCACACTTTTTTGTTGGTTGGAGTCTCTTCCCCATTATCTTGTCAACTGCTCATGCCTAAACAAGGATACAAGTGAAGTTCAAGCACAATTTGATTAGCATTTTTAGAAGGATTTCTATTGTATGTGAACTACGTTCGCTTATATATATATATATATATATGTTTTTAAAAACCAATCAAACAAATGATTTACTTGAGATGGCTATTTAATTCAACTAGAACAACAAGTACTAAACATTACCAAAAACACTTACAAATTGGGAGGCCCCAACCCAAGTTCTAGTTGCTTTATGTGAATATCACTAAATATATTTTGGGACAAATCTTCGGGGAACATGTTAAATCAATCACAAGTTTTCAACATCAAAATGCAATGAAAATGTAGTTCAAAATACTTTCGTTTAAGTCGCTAACGAACTGGGCATTTTTACAAACATTTTAAATGTAATCAAAATTCAAATAATATAATTAGCCCTATAATTTTAATGCCAAAATTTCTCATGAAATATTTTGCAACAACTCAAGAACAAGTCATGGAAGCAACAATATGGTTACAAAATACTACATTAATTAATGTAAAAATGGATTATTTCATTACGAATGTCAACTGAGATATATAAATAGCAAAGTAGCACAAAATTGTTACGAAGCCTTGCTTCAGTACAAATTTTGAATCAGTGTGAGCCAAGAGAGACTAGAATAGAAATTCAGATTGAACACTAGAGATAGAAAATAGGGTAAAAATCATAGAGTATATTTTTAGAAGAGGGAGGATTTCAGAAATAACCAAAAAATGGGGAAGAAGAGAGTTTTAGAAGAGGGTTTAGGGTTTCAGAAATAATCAGAGGGAGGCATACCTTGTTGATTGCTCTTCAAAAAGAAACGAAGGTTCACTGGGTTAGATTAGGGTTTTAAACCAAACAACCACTTAGAACCTGCAGCCAGTCGAGCCAGACGAAGAGAGACGAATGAGCGCAGTACAGAGAGAAGAGAGCGAGAGGAACAGGGGAAAAGATCCGTCACGCCCCAAACCCGTCCCTAAAAGTTTCGGGAATGACTTATTCAGAAACAGACACTCAACCTGATATACGTAATATATGGGGCCTGAACGGAAGCATTAATAATATAAAATAACATAAAACATCATCCATTGAGCTACCACTACCATGCCAGGACCGCAAACATTGCATTAGGTAGATAATATACAGGAGGCATACACCCGAGCTTCAATTACAGTTATTCATATTCTTACACAAGTATTACAGAAGAAGGGGTTATATACATTCAATCATAGGTAAACAACCAAAGTATGAGCCAAAACTTAGTAAGACTTTGCAAAATGCACGGGTTTCATATTAAGTGCCTGGATACACTGAGGTTGACAAGAGAGGGACAAGCCTTAAGGGTTAGGACTGGCCTCCCGGTTGATTACCTACAGAAATAGACAAATACAGAGTGAGTAAAACTCAGTGAATAATAGCACATAAATAATGTAATGGTTAACTTAAACAGCAAAGTATATCACTATAGAGGCATATGATGAATTATATTCTATAGAACGGCCATGGTCCCAATTTCCTTAACAGAGTGGCTTTAAGCCCAGTAATATACAGAACGGCCAGAGGCCTAACAGATACAGAACAGCCATAGGCCCAGAATTATCAGAATGGCCATCGGCCAAAAATAATAGAATGGTTTATCAGCCCAGAAATAACAGAATGGCTTATCAGCCCAGAAATAAGAAATAACATAATGGCCATCAGCCCAGATCACATATGTATGGATTCAAGAGGTGGCTCGTACGGATTCTAGAGGTGACTCGCATTGCAGCACTTAGTTCCGTACA